AATATATAAACAATTTGACAATGCGTTGCAATGCAGAACTGATAGGGCCTTTGCTCAGCTATATGTTTTGTACCCTAGGGGTAAAAACGCCGATGTTCTGCAAAAGCCTTTACATCCTCCGTACGTCAGTTACAGCATTTAAATTATTGAAAAGTAAGATATTAACTAAAAGGTTGTATGGACAAAACAAAATTAAGCATAATCATACTATTATTATAAATGCGAAAGTTTAGATGGATGGATGGATGTTAGAGTTTGTAGCCTAAACGGCTGAACGGATTTCAATAAAATTTGGTATAGATGTCGAGTATAGTCTGGGAAAACACATAGTCCACTCGTTTTTGTTTTTTTTTTAATACCACGCGGAGAGAGACGCGGGTGAAAGTAATGATAAAATAAATGGAAACTTCAGCAACTTAGCCTAATTTCTTTAAATACATTTGAAGTTTAATTCTGAATTAACATTATCATGCTCCGATAATAAATGATTTCTGTACAAGTGGATGTTCAATTGACAAAATAATCTCATTACTTCAGTAGCGTGAGGGGAAAATTGTCCCTTTTATAGCGTTATTATGGCTTTTGTCACGTAAGTATTTATATCATAAAGCAAGGCATCATAAATTTTTGGTAATAAAATTGCTCTCGCGACGTCATGATCGTGGGGAATCACACCTACTTGTATATTTGAGGAATTGTATCAATAAACACCTTTATTGAGTCAAATGTTTTGCTTTTCATGTATTTGCCTTTTTTTTTAAGTGTGTAGCAGATTATTTAAACGTTATTAATATTTCTTCTACCCATTGTAAGCTTTAGATTTGTGCTTATGTATGGATTCGAACTCACTTGGGATGTCCATACTATTAACTATTGAATCATTGGGGCTTTTGGTGTGTTTTATTCCTAGACTATAGTCTTATTTACCTTGTCTATTATTTATTTTAATTAATTTGGGTTTTTATTAACCGTGTTGTTTTGATTTGATGTATTAAAATGAATGTATATTCTTTGTAATGTTAATTTCATACAAAAAGGTTCGATTTTTTATATGTTTAACTTCGGTAACGAGTCAAGATAATCTGTAAGAGATTATCCTTTGCTTTGTTATCTGAGACCAGCAGGAATGTGAAATCGGTTTAATCCGGAATTATATCTTTCTTTGACTAGAATAAGGGCCTGTCACATCAAATTGTAAATTGTCTGATAACAATTCAACGTGTATATGTGATGGAAATATCGGATTTTGTTACCTTATCTGACATTGACTTCATTTTTAAGTTATCTGAGCCACTATCAGCCAGTAGTGGGACAGGCCCTTAATGTTATATTTGAATTAAATATAATTTTCGCTTTTTACTAATTTATGTATAGATTAAGAAATGTAGAAACATTAAGAAGCTGATATTTTCACGTTTTTTTTAATATAATTTAATCGTAACATTTAATAAATGTAAAGTGAAATTGTTTTAAAACTGTTTATGACTATTGTTGAATTCGAAACATAACGTTATTTTAAGAGAAGCCGAAATGAGGCATCAACATGAGATATTAAAAATTTAAGCATATCCTTTAGTAGTTACAGAAATAAAGAATGTATGTTTCTAGTTGTATAAATAACATTTTGGATTTTAAACCCGTAATATCTATACTAATTGTGGTATATATGAGGGTATCTCAATATCAATGTACCGTCAGTTAACTCGTAATAAATCAGTCCAGTACCAACCGCCGTTTCATTAACACCCCTACATTACATTGGCGACGAGGATTTTAATTTTAATAGTGAACCCGCAAAGTATTTCGCGAAGAGAACGTGCGTCTCCTCAATAAGTGGACGACAATGTTTACGTCGATGTTAAATGCGCATATTCCAAAAACGGTTTGTGTGCGGTGGTTGTGCGAGCTGACGGCGTCACGACGTCGGGAGCACGGGACGTCCAAGGGGTGTTACAGCGTGAAAATGATGAAGAGGTTCGTGGGACCTATG